CCGCTCAGGGTGTATTTATTTAGCTCATGCATGACTCACAGTAAGTGCGATAGTTCAGTGTCAGCTCTAATTCTTGGATGTGCTCGTTGCCGCCTACAGAAACGATGTGGCCTGTCCGAATGACCACAAGTGGACATCCGGAGTTGCTAACTGGATCCCCCCTCAACAACAAACCTCGTCCCGGTCGTACACATCCGAACAAGTTGGAATGACCCGATGACGAGGATGTTTGGTCAGTGGTGGAGACGACAGGAAGGCACCGAGAAGAGTGACGGAACACCGACTGGCGTCTGAAGCTTGACCGCTGGCTAAACATAAGTTGGACAGAAGGATGACTCATAGGAAGCCACAATAGAAAGCAGTCGCAAAGCGGATCTTTTCGCTCTGCTTTTTTTTCCTGCTAATCCGTTCGAAACAGGAACACGTTGTCGTTGAGCATAAACCGTCGATCAGCAGTTGCCAATGAAGTCGGTAGTTACAGAACGCTTTTTATGTACATGACATGTGACACAGTACAGCTGACGCACCTTTTACGTAACATACAACCGTCATTCCATTTCGATTATCTTCGACGGCGCACATCCGGGTTTCAGCACATTCGCTGCTAACAGAAAATGCAACAACCAGGTAGAACTGACATTAACAAAAATGACACCGGATTAAAACGGCTAAAATGTACAGTGTAAAGAAGAAAAACATCTCTCACTTTACACCGACAATGCGGCAGTGTAAAACAGATGTAATTGTTACCGTAGCACTGCATCGCTGCCTTGCGTCTGGTCACCTAGAGGGTCATTTCAACGGACCAAGGATAAATGGTATTTTAGCGTCTGCAGTGCATGGAACGGTTGAACGAGGGCAGCATTTCAAGTGCAACACGTTAGCCACTATAGGCGAATAAGCAAAATAAAAAGCCGTTCGGCATGAATGGATGTTTTGAAGTATGAGCAAAATTTTCCAACAAGTGCCAAGGTCAGATTCAATCGACCCGACCTCAAACCAAACCTAGGTTTAAAATTTCAGCGTAAACCATATGAAAGAGAATCGATTCTTAAAACTGATCAAAAATTCGAATATTTTGTTGAATCATTAACCCTAATTTAAACGGGGCTTTTCGGCCACGTGAAATTTCTTCACGCACCAAATAAAAGCGATCAAAATGTGAAATATGCACACACCAATACCTTAGAAAAATATCAAACGTTCACGTGCACAGAGTAGAGAATAGCGTTAAAGTCTGACACACATGCATACCTTTGGAAACGGTCGGGTTTCGATTGAGGTCATTACCATAAAAACCATACAAACGACTCGTACAAATCATCCCCTCGCGACGGGTGGAGTGGCACCTCGTCAAGTTGTGGCGAGTCGTAGCTTTCGATGAGGTCTGAGCGACCGGCTCTTGATTTCGGCGCCGGAAACGGTTCAGACTTGAAGAGCCATAAACTCAGAAGGAGATGTGCTCACCGTTTGACTGTCAGGATTGTGACCAACAGCGACGTTCGCGCACTGTTCGAACAAAACATGCATCCCGGGCATTCGTGACACTGACACTGACTCAGTCGCTCACTCGCAGCCGAGTAAAACAAACGAACGAACAGCCCCTTCAGACAAGCTTTCGCATGAAGCTCTTCGTGTGATCCGGAATCCGCCGCCACACGTGCGCCTTTTTCATTGCCGTCACGTTGTTGTGCAACTTTTGGCTTTGCCTTCTCACACGCCGTGTTTTCCTGACGGATAGAGTGGCTAAGATAGACGCGTCATTCCAGAAAAACACGACAGCATTTGCAGCATTTGGCGACATCTTATGAATGAAACACCATAACATTATTGAAGTGCTTGCCCCCCCCCCTATTCGGCCGTCGTTCTGACACAATCACTGCTGTTCGGTCTTTAACGCAGAAACAATTGATCAAAGAGAAGTTTGCGCGAAGATGAACATAAATTTTTGCGACTTATAGTGAGCACTTAAGATTACAATATTAATACAATATTCGTTCGTTCGTCCGTTACAATATTCGTTCGTTCGTTCGTTCGTTCGTTCGTTCGTCCGTCCGTTTGTTCGTTCGTTCGTTGCCGT